CATTGGGCCTCTTGTTTCAATTTTGATACACACTAATAGAGACCGCTATTGTCCCCGGATACCTCGGCTGTTTTTGTTTAAACAGTTAAACCGGTCGAACCACAGTTGTTTGTTTATCGGACCTAGTAATCTGATGCTGCTTTCAGGCGAGCCTTGACAAAGCCTTGCAAGGATTTATACTCCAAATTGTTACATTTATAAACGAACAAACCGGTTGTTCTGCATAAGCGAACAGGCTCGTGGAGACCTACCATGAACAGCAGACAAAATTTGTATTAATGTCGTCCAAGGATTGTATCACATGGCATACCTCCTACCTGTTCATCCTTCTTTATTTCCGTAATTCATCATTATTTCTCTTCTCACTCTTTCATTTTATCAGTTGTCATTGAGGATTTTACTGTAGCAACTATCAAGAGGAAGTTTCATTCTAAAAAAAAAAAAATTCAATAATATGAGGTTCTTCACTTTTATTTTCTTACCATAACATCATTATCACCATCTTCGTCATAATAGTTTCTTGCCTTTTCTTAAGCTCATTTACTCTTCATTGCAGATAATTCACCCAATCTTGGAGACGGTACAACAGAGGAATGTGTGGCTTTGAACTCAGACCCACTATTAGAAGAAAAAGCAAACAATCCAATTTAATGAAACTATATGACATTTAAGGAGGAGAAATTATTTGTTGACACAAATATATAAATATTGAGATACTGTAAATGTGCATATTTTGGATGGATGTTTTTAGTATTGGTGAAATTTCTGCATGGTGTATCTTTTATGAACATTTACAAAATAACCGTTTTTATTCATAAATTTACACATTTACAGTGTACATAAATAGTCCAGTATCTTGATTAATGATGACAAAATGCATTTAAATATTTCTATTGATGGGGCTATTTAAGGGAATATCCTTTCATTAGCAAGTCAAAATCTAACTACATACTAGCAGCTTTTATCAAGCATACTGCATGCTTCATGTTACTAAATTGTATCTGCATCTCTTTACTATCAAGATGTCAAAATTACAAAGCGTATGTATAATTATCACTCATTCCTCATGATCTTTGATGGGTCAAGGGTCATGAGGAATACAATCGCTAAGCCTGGTTTATGAAATTGGATGCTTGCATGAATTCCTTGGTCGATGTTGTATCGGGTTCTATTCACATCAAGAATATTTTACAGATATAAACATCTCTCATGATATGATAATGAAATTGATACATGAGCAATCAGGATTTAGGATTTCAGCTGTCTTTGTTCACAACTGATAGCAATTTGGACAGCAGGGAATATGCCATCGCTTAGAATTGTGAACTTGGCCTTCTCCTTACTTTGGGAAAGATCTTTACTCACAAAATTGGATTTATGAGCCAGATTTTTTCCTGAACCTTGAAGCATTTTCTTAAATGTCATCTTCTACAATCAATGAAAGGACTTGGGGCGTTATGGGCCATTTTTGGTCTTATAAAAAAAAAAAAATGTATTAATTTGTGCTGACTTTTGTCATTGCGCATGCGTAGATGCCCTACCATAGCAACAAAATTTCGTTGCTATGCAGAAATAGCCAAAATATGGTGTTTTTGCACAGTTGACATGCAGAAATGAATGCCTTTGCATGTGACAAACCGAAATGCCTTTCTACGAATAAACACTGGTATGACAATGTTTGAGCATAATATATATTTATTTGTTTGGTGCATGTGGAGGCTTTGAAAAAGTAAAGAGATTTTTAATTAATTTGCTTCAAAATTGACAATTTTCAACTAAATAGTGTTCAACAGATGATATTCACACATTTTATTATGAAAATGCGGGTTTATGTCTCTCTTTGTAATGCCATATCTCTTCAACCACTNAACTTTTAGAGTCGTGAATGTTGTTAAAGATAAAAAAAAATCCAGAAACCTGCACCTAGCTTTGCTGTTGTATCGCCTTGACGTTGTCCCTTGTACATGTTGGGTTTGCTATATGGCAGGCTGTTTTATCTGGAATGAATAATATTAAGGATGCCAATTATTGGCAAATATGTTATACTCATTTTCATACTTGGAGATTTATATGGAGAAATACACATTTATATGTGGATAATAATCATTCTGCTAATCCAATGTGTTTATTAGACCTTAGGAGGGATTATGAATATGATGGGGGGGGGGGGTTGGTATTAATAGCAAATTTTGATAATGTAATAATATGGTAATAGAAGTTCATAGAAAAAGTACATAGAAATGTTTCTATTCATAAATGTTGAGACCTTATCACAACATAATTTAAACAAAAATGATGTAGTACAAATTGGTACGGTACAAGTTAATTTACTCAATACATGGTATGAAGTCATTATGGTCTCTTTCAAGCCAACTCTGCAGCAAGAAATACTTCCAAATGCATTTAATAAAGTGTCCCCTGTAGTATTTTGTCTTGATTAATGTTCACTGTTAAATGTCTGAAGATCGTTAGCTACTGGCAAAATGCTATGAATCAGACAGGCAATAGCGTACGTCTGTCATACACAATTCACGGAATACTTGGTAGCATTTCAGAGATCATGGTTTCGTTATGTGTCTGGTAAAAGACATGATACTTATTTTGGTGTTTCCACGGTTTCTCTTGTCGCTTCTTTGCCTTGTTTTAGGTGTGATGCATCTTTGCTTTATTACTCTGAACTGCAAATTAACAGATGATATATTTTTTGCATGATACCCTGGTTTAATTAGGTAATTGTAATATGAATAAATTCACGAAATGGACATAAGTTGTAGTGATTTTAGCTCACCTGGTATGAGGTGCCAGTTGAGCTTATGGTATGGTGTGTTGTCCATCAGTCCGTCAACTTTTCTTTGACCGACTTCTGGCCAGAAGGTACCTGGGAAAGAGGGCTATAAAGTATCCTCAAATAAATGACCTTGACCTACATTCAAGGTCACAAGGGTAAAAAGTATTAAAAATCTTTAAACAACTTCTTCTAAATAACCTAGGAGGCCAAGAGTTATAATACTTTGCCAGTAATTACTTTGCATGAAGTGCTATAAAGGTTCCTCAAATAAATGACCTTGACCTACTTTCAAGATCACAGTGGTCAAATATGTTTAAAAAAATATAACAACTTCTTCAAAATACCTAGGAGGCCAAGACCAATGGTCCTTGGCCAGTAGGTACCTGGGACAGAGTGATACAAAGTTTCCTCGAATAAGTGACCTTGCCTACTATCACAGTTACAAGAGTAAAAAGTGTCCAACAAAACTTTGGTCAACTTCTTCTGAATAACCAAGAGACCTAGAGCAATGGTTTTTGGCCAGTAGATACATGGAATAGAGTGCAATAAAGTGGCCTCAAATAAATGGCATTGACTATGAAGCTCAAAGGGGTCAAAGATGTGGGGGGAAAAACTTCAAACAACTTCTTCTGAATAACATGGAGGCCCAGAGTAATGATACTTGGTCAGTAGATACCTGGGACAATGTACTGTAAATGTCCTTAAATAGAACACCTTGAACTGCTTTCAAGGTCACAAGGGTAAAACCTACTTTCAAGATTACAAGTGTCAAATGTTTCTAAAACCTTTAAACATGTTCTCATGAATATTATAAACCAGTATGCCTAGAACAATGATATTTGGCTAAGGGGTACCTGATACAGAGTGATAAAAGGTTTCCCCAAATAACTGACTTTGACCTTCTTTCACGATCACCAGGGGTCAAATATGTAAATATCTTTCAACAAATTCTTCTGCAAAACCAGGAAGCCCTGGATGACAATATTTGGCCAATAGCATGCTGGGATAGAGTAGTATAACGTTTCATTTAGTCTGGAACATTTTGAAGCCAAGGAGACTCAATATATGGAAATAATTGCAAAAGGACTTTTATTGAGAATATTTTTTCCATGATTGCTAAAATATCCAGATGAGCAATTCGGGGCCTCTTGTTTACATTGTGTTTGGCTTTCTACAGTTATGATTCATATTTCAAAATAGTTACTGACTTACTTGGTGTTCTTATAGATGTTTTTTTAAGGCAGAATTGTTACAGCAGTTCTGTTTATGGTCATTATCTACATAAGTCTAGCTATATCCTTGTCATCATGTTTCAATTTCAAGTATTGTAATTCATAATTTGAGCTTATAGATGTTGTATAGTGTTTTGTATTTTGTATAGAGCAGTTAGTTCTTGGATTATCAAATATTTTGTACTGTGTACTTTTGGTTTTACTGAGAGTACAGTATCTCTACTGTGCTATCACAAGGAGGCAAGCGCAACCAACATACCATGTCTCCTGCAAACACACACACACACACACACATGCACGCATACACAACACACATGAAGACAAGTCCTTAAATGACGTTAGCTGTTCAAAGGACTGGTAACAAAATCGAACCAAACCAAACAGTATCTCAACTATAACCATATTGTTCGTTAAAGGTGATATGTAGCAATGTTTCTTTCCCAAACATCATGCAAATCCATTGTTTTATTTTTCTAAACTGTGAACTACAGCAATCCCTTTCGTAAACAACCTAACAGTCAGCTGTGAAAGCCTTACATATGCCATTACATATTTGTTGTAAACATATGTTTTTTTGTTTATACTTTTCAGCTTAAGCTATTTACATTAGATTTTAGATTTAGTGACAGTGACAGTGTTATGATGCAAGGTCCAGGGTTTGGATCTTGGTCTTGCCCCCATGCCTTTTGAAACTCAAAACATTATTGCTATTTTTCCGTTTTCTTTTGAAGTTTCACAATGTTTTGAATTTCGAAAATATTCATCAAGTCATTAGTCAGACAAGGAAAAAAGTTACAAATCATGTCAATGGTACGGGGATCCTTAAGCGTTTTGGTTGAAAATAATTATCACGTCATTCAAAGATGGCCTGAAATGTTGGTAACATAAGTTTGCGCATAACATAGATGTGAAATTGTATAAGTTTGGACACACGTGTACGTTAACAAGAGAGAAGATTATTGGTAATCAAATGTCTTTCCAAAATTCGTTATCTAGAAATATATATACAGTATTCATAATTATCACTCCCTGTGTAATATCCAGTAGATAAACATGAGTCTTCGATGAAACCCGACCTACCTCATTTTAAAGGTGCATCGCATGTATGTGTGTTAAGTTCATCTTTCAAGATAAAAGGTAGTGGACTCTGTTTTCGGATTGTTAAGTCCCCTTGATAACCACATTTACCTTTTTTGAGTAGTTAAAGGTTTCATAATATACACACGTGTCTAATGATTTAACTTGAATATAACCAGTACTCCTATTAATTTTGAAACTCTAAAGGGTTTTCCATTTTGTTTGTTTTTGTTTGCCCTTGGCATCACATGCGAATCCTAGAATGTGTATGGTGCAGTGTAATTAATTGTTTGGCATGCTGTATATATTACCTACTTTTAAAGGTGCATTACGTGTGTGTATTCTACGTTCATCTTTGAAAAATGTAAATGTTGTATTTGTTGGCGCTATGGTGTTGGATCGCTTAGACATTCAAAAGTTTATACTCGTTCGAGATTAAATGGAAATAAATATTTTGTAGAGGTATGCTATTGTAATGTACATTTTGTGTGTTGGTGTCTTGATATGATAAATAAATATGTCAAAATGCACAACAGTTTCCTTTGTTTGATCTTCATTAGTGAAGCAGTGTATAACCTTTTATCGAATCTGGATGGCAACAATAACGCCAATCAACTCGTTCAGATGAATTGTTTGCCAAATTTGAAATACAATGAAAGAAATATTGAACCAATCTTGACGAATATAACCAAGTTTTCTTACAAAGATTTCACAGACAAAAAAACATCAGACACTTATACCGTATATGAAATATATCTCATCCCTCTGAACACCTACTTAAAAAACTTTGTGAAACGTCATTTTTTCCAATCAAGCCGTAGAAGGACGATTTGTATTATATATGTTTGTACGACTCGTCGATTAAGATAAAATAATAATTGTGAACGTCAGTTGTATCTTTTTACACTCCTAACATTGGAAAAATCAGACGAAGTTGGATCAGATAAACAACTAATGACCGATGTAGACAATGATGTGATTCAGTTGTCCGAGATCAAATGAACAACTAATGACCGGTGTAGACAATGATGTGATTCAGTTGTCCTCAATCAAATGAACAACTAGTGACCTGTGGAGACAATTATGTGATTCAGTTGTCCTCAATCAGATGAACAACTAGTGACCTGCGGAGACAATGATGTGATTCAGTTGTCCTTGATCAGATCAACAACTAATGACCGGTGTAGACATTGATGTGATCCAGTTGTCCTCAGAAAGATTGTCTGGTTTATAGAACGAAAATGAAAAAAGGAGATACTGTTTGATCGTCTAACGAAGAAGGGCGCTGCCTTTTGAAGTTGTTATGTATTATTATTTATGATTTCAGACAGGGCAAGCTTGTTGGACCTATAATGAAAAAAAAATAACCCAACAGGTGATTGAATTGAAATTTACCGGTTATTTTGTATAAACGACAATATTGAAAATATTTCCAAAGCATTATCCAATATGGAACATGTACATAAAATATTAGGTCTAGGTGGTGACAAAACCGCAAATATGGTTATCTGATGTTATCAAATTGATGTAGCTGCTAAGACTTAACTATAAACAAGAAAGATGGAATTTAAAAATGCTATGATTAACAAAATAAGTCAAGAATCGCACTGAAACAGCTAAAGCATCAAAAGGTCAAATATGTTTATTATTATGACATTGATTTAAAAGAAAGTTCTACAGTGTTTTTGTATGTTTTGAAACTAAAAACGAAGCTATTATGCTGTATAATTTGTGGGCTTATCTTTATAACGAGATAGTAACCGCCAATGCAATACTTCCACTAAACGATTCATTTTATGTCTGTAATTGAACTTAAGGTTACAGAGAAAAATCAGTATTTGCATACTGTATCTTCCACTTTATTTCGGCCCATCGGGTACCGCCGCTAGTTTCGCATCTCATCGCCAATTCAATCAGTTACCCAGCGTTCTGCCTCTATCAGTGATCACCTATAAGACAAAAACATAACATGTATAATTTTGCTTACACTTTAAAAATTATTGAAATACAAACCTTCGATAAATTAACTTTTGAATCTTGGTAATACTGAGTAAAAATGTACTATGGGTGAGATTTATGTCTGGGTTGCTGGCCTTGTCCACCGAGGCCATTTACGGAGTCTGTGAACAAACTCTTGACCATGTCTTATAATAAAGGTAAAAATAGATATAAAAAATCATCAACGTGTTTCTCATGAAAAAAGGATAACAGACAATCTATCTTTTCTAGTCATATGGCCAGAACTTGACTGATTAGGATGGAAAAAGGAATACAGTAACAGTTATAGCTATATTAAATATGTTATCAATTCCATTTGAATCACAGCAAAACACAAAAATGCATGTTGGCGCTGAGTGTTTGTAACACATTAGACGATACGACTGTCTCCGACCGGTAGGACGACAAATTCACACGACTGATCTACACCAAAATAATGAGTCAGGGGTTGGTGTAACCGATGTCTAGATTATGTCAAACCTCTAAGTTTGATATTCTGTGTATGATTTAAGTCTCTGCCTCCATGTTATTGTTCTATTTACATAAAAGAGTCGTTCATCTATTTTGAGGGTATCAGATTATTTGGTTAAACATTGTCGCTTTACGGGAGTTACACATTGTTCCATTGAATTCATTCGCGTATTCTTCCTCTTAGAAAAAACGGTGTTGACCTTGTATTACAAGCAAGCTACGGTACCACTAGGATTAAGTGGTATCCCTTTACTGAATACTCAATGACTGATAACAGTACGCGTATTCTTCCACTTAGAAAAAAAACCGCCAGTTGCACATGAGTTTGTAAACAATATATCATAACATACTCCACTTTGCTAAATTCGAGGGATTGGGTTCTTAAATCTTAAAAGGGAGAAGTTTTCCACTGAATACAATCAAACCATAATATAACGGTTTCTGTGACTTCAGAGAGAACATGTTTGCAGGCCGGGCACATTTATTTTTGGTTAATAAAATCACACATATGAATCTATTTCAACTTAAGTTTCTTAACAATGCATTAACTGGCCTATCATTTGTCTCTCCTAGATAACAAGGCCGTGAGAGCTCGACCAGATGGACAAGACGCAAAGCCCAGGTATTTGCTCACAATTATTATTTTAAAACAAAATTAATTAGATTCAATTCATGTTGAAATGTATGTGTGCCTTTCTAAACAGGTCAGTTATTCACTTTTAACTTAATACGTGAAATATTGTTTTTCTTTTTAAACACAATCTGTGTTGGACGTTTAGAATAAATCTTTTGCCTCGTTGGTCGCAGACTATATATGATAAATGTATTGTGCTACTTATATATGTATGTATGTATGATACCAGAAATTGTGTGTTTTTGTTTGACAATTAATATATATTAATTGTTAAAAAATATTATGTATATGTATTATTCACTTATTTGTTTGTTTGTTTTTGTGGCCAACATCATAACCACATATAAGTACAGGATCATGCTATTTATTGAATGTTTATCCCGTACCAAATGTGTTGATCATTTTTTTTGTTTTTTTGCTACATTTCCAGGACTGAGAGGACTCCAAGATCTGCAGGGTAAATATTATACGTGTTAGGATTAAGGATGAGTGGCCCCTAATTTTTGACTTAGTAAAGTGTACTATACTTTGTGTTTAAATATAGCTGTATAAATAATTTGCAATTTGAGTTGGAGTTATCAGTATTTAAGTAAGTCAATGAAATATTCTATTTATCATTGACTTTTTATGTTAATTCCACTAAATATAAGTGAATAGTGACGAAAACGGGTTTTTTAAATACAAAAAAAAGGAAACAACGTGAGTTTTTATTTGACAAAAGGCATGTTTAATATCTTTCTTCTATTTTATTTGATATTGCTGTATATGATTTATTTTGCATGATGGTTTTAACTTAAGAACATGCTTGAGCTTTGCTGATTTGTCGACTATGTTTCTGTAACGCTTGTGTGTATTTGGCTCTGGTTTTGTTTGCGTTTGCTTAATGCTTGCTTCTGCTACTTTTACACATAACACAATACAGCCGTAAAAGAAAGAAAAGAGGAAATAGAAAACAAGTCTCTGAGTAAGTATATAATGGTGCTAATTTTCAAAGGAAATGAAGGAAAATGCAAAAATATATCGTTGTATTGAACTGGCTTAAACGCCTTACCGAGTTCCTCAAAATGTTATAGGAATCGGATCAGCTGATTGTGAAATCAAAAGGAATATGTTGCGTCAAAATAATTCGAAATAAAGTGCAATAACACCTCGATACACCAATTGGAAATACTTATGTAAGCCTAGAGTTTTATGATTCCCGCGCCACTTTTGCGGACTAATAACGTGTATATACCAGTCGTTTGCTGCTTGTAGATATTTTTTAATGTAATTTCCATTTTTGAATATAGAATTTTATGAAATAGTTTCTTTATTATTTCATCGTTATGCTTATTTTAGCAAATAACAAGTTGGCTTTCTATAAATCATATTTAAGTTTTCTGTTTCGGAAGCTGTGTAATGGTTTGGTTTATAATCTAACAAAATGTGTTTACTTTTATTATATTCATCGTAATTGACAACAACTAAAAAAACGTTTTATGTTAATTAATTTTATGTTAATTTTCCTGATTTATGGAGAGAAAAAAAATTGTGCAATTCCTCTTCCCGAAACTCCAAGCTACTTTCCTTGAGTTCGTGAGACGTATATGTATTCGTCTTTTGTTCTTTCTTACAAAATTCACATTTAATATATAGACATGGTTTATAAATATTTCGATTGATTATACAGCGAATTAACATAGTTAAGAACCATGATGAATGTCAAGTGTAAAAAATAGAAGTGTGGAGATAATAGAGGTAGGAAGTGATTTTCATTTACAAATCTATAACAACTAACGTTTGTCTGATTAATGTGATGGGAATCGCAATTTAAAGGAGTGAAATGCAACATAAAAATATTACAAGTCTAGGGCGCTGCTTGTGCAAATATAAATGCTAAAGGCATGGGTTCATTTTAGTGGGAAAAAATGCATTTGGAAAACACAGTGTAATAGAGCTAAAACATTAGTTTGTATGATTTTTGTTTGCTTCAGAAGTCCAACTTCGGCCAGTAATATCAAGACAAAATGGAGGAACAACCAAGTTAGCGATTCAAATGAAAGGTGGTTAACGCTTTGTTTTAGCTTAGCTTTGTGACAGTGTATTCAGTTGGATAATAATAAAACTTTTCTGTTACCTGTTAGTTTACATCTTCGATATAATTGAGAAGGTTTAGAACTAAGTATGTATCACTTACTTATTATTCAGGAGTGGGTTTATCTACTTACACTATTTCTATAAGAATTACTTTATGTTACAGTGACGGAAGCAATGACACGCCCAGAAGGAAACTGGAAGATGTACCACAAGGTCGGAAGCTGCCAGCGCTGGAATTGGTGGATGCAAGTCAGAAAGCCAATACGCTGGAGCCATTAGAAGTCAATGAAACAAAGAAATTAAAGAAGAAAAAGAAACGAAGATCGAAGGAGGAAAAGGCACAGGTAATATCAGGAAATAGTGATAATGAGCGAAGTGATACACAAGATGTTCTTTTACCTCATCAAGTCAGTGATATCTCTCCTCCTTCTGGCACCCAGTTAAGGGGAACTGTTCAAACTGACCATTCTATAACCAGACAAGAACCGGGACATGAGGAAAAGGAAGGCCAGACTGTTGACTCTCACACCAACAACACACACCTTTAAGATACCCAAGGACAAGCCAACAAGGAAAGCACCCCACCAGATACTCACGAGACGCATGGGAATGGTAATAATCAGAAAGATCGCGACGGTGGACCGGAATATAATTCCAACTACAATGCACTCCAAGACACGAACTTTTAGACGAGAACGGACATGGTCAGCACAAAGTGAAAGATGCTACCAGTTCTGAATATCCGGTACATTCCACATTCCACGCTTCGCAAGCTGACAGGGAAAGGTTGCCGTAGGATTAGAGACACGCGGAAATTGCAGCATTTGTGTAGATAACGACAATGGATCGTAAATGTCAGCCGCAATGAATCTTGGGATGACTTTGACGTTAGATTCCAATGAAAATAACATTGAATGTGATATTTCATGCTGAAAATTAAAGAAGAGGTGAACACGAACTAACAGAAAATCAAAACAAAAAATCAACTGAAAACACATAGTCCAGTGATGAATTACTAGTGTAGTTTTTACGGTAAACCAAATACGATTAACGCTATACTGTGATGAATCGTAACAGGGGTACACGTGTCTTTGATAATCTACGACTAACAAGTTTGATCGTTTTTTATAGTTCCTACCTATATACAGAGAAAACAATTATCTCGTAGCAATTGCTATCTCATTGTATAATTATTTCAACAGACTAGTAATCATAAATTTATATTTTAACACTCTAACTATTTTATTATAAGTATTTGTATTAGTTTCATCGTATGTTTTCTTGTTATGCAGGTCAATGGCGAATATTAGGTAAGACGTGCATGTCTTATTCCCTAACTTGGTATAAATATTTTATATCTGTATATAACAAAAAGCTAGTACGACATATTTATAATTACACTTTGTATACTACCTAACGTCAATGAACGCAAAACGGGACAGTTCCCAAAATAGAACGCAAAATGGGACAGTACCCAAAATAGAACGCAAAATGGGCCAGTACCCAAAATAGAACGTAAAAAAGGGACAGTGCCCAAAATGGAGCACTTGTAGGAAAGTGGCACAAGAAATTGACATGCGAAACAATATTTTATGTATGCGGTATTTACTACATGATACTTTAATGTTAATTGAACTTCACATTGTATTGGTTGGTTCATTATGGTAACACAGATTGTTTAAGGTTAGAAAAGTTATCGAAAACATCACTTTCTTAGTTTATGTGCCATACGAGGCTATGTATTCGGATGTCATTTTTAGAAAGTTATATTTTTTTTTCAAAACTAACACTATTTTGGAGAAAACCAGAACCTTTTTTGACTCTTAAATGCTTGAACTATGTGTAATTTTCTCTGCTCATTGTCCAAGGATTTGCCAAAATACCGAAGTGTCCCTTTCAGGGTAACATTCCACCTGTACAAGAACCTACGTAACTGTAAAACCTTTTGCTGAAACTTCAGCTCGTAATAGAAAAGAAAAAAGGATGATATCTATTATGAAAAATGAACAAAGAATTTTCGATTCGATATCCCTCAATATTTAACGAAAGCGGGTCCCGTTTTGGTTACACTGACGTTTTATTTGAACACAGCATTTGCATACGTTATAGTTGGTGTGTGAAAATACCCGTTTCTACACTATAGGATAAATATATCGTTTGGTTTTGGTCATAACTTTTTGACTAGATTGCTTTGAAATCCTATATTGTATTGTCGCTTTTGCATGCGTATCATAGTGTCATTTATACTTCTTTGAAGACTAGGTTATTAGTAATCTATGTACTATGAATTCATCACATTTAAAGTAAGAGTCAAAATAGATCAAGCGTTGTATGCCAAAGATTTAACTGGAGTAGACAGTTAAATGTGATGTTGTGAGCATGCGTCTTACTATTTCTGCATTCCTTCTGTGATAATGATGCTACTTGGTCCTTGTCTTCATATTTTTCGATAGAACAACTATTGAGAAAGGGAACTTAACTTCATATATTCTTTTGTGCACCTCAGTTAAGAATTACACCTTTAAATTTATTCAAAATTTCAATAATTTCGAATTATAAGCATAAAATAATTCAGAATCATTAAGTTTGGCAGATCACGAGCACATCCAGCACTGCACATTTAATACCAAACTGGCCATCAGTCATCATGTTTATAATTAACCTTCAAGTCCATATATATTGACTTAAGCAAGTCTACACGATCGCATTTGATCAAGACATAGTAGACTTGCTCAAGTCCATTTGATTATATAGACCCTAAAGACAACGTAATTGAACGATTTACAGACATTATTACAACAGTTATTTCACACAAGATCGGGTCCTATTTTGTCTCACACATGCACACTTGCATATGCACCTTTGCATTTTTAAACTTTGAATTAAATTAATACGTTGTCAACGTTAGTATTATATACATATATTTACTCTTATTCCTACTTTTTCATCTTATTTTATATTAATTGGGAAAATAGTTGTTCTTCAACTAGTGATGTTGGCTATCATGGTTATCTAACCCGAGTTAGTTAATTTTCAAATTGTGTAAAAGTACGAGGTTTACTGGGTGTCTTTTACAAATTTGATATTAATCTATGAAAAAAATGCAGGGTAAATCAAAAGTAACACACTGACAAACTTATTAGAAAGATAACGTTTTATTTACCACTTTTGCTTTATGATCGTGCTGGAAATTAGATGTTTTAACGTGGGGACATTTTGACTGAACGCCATATTAATACTCACACAAGATCGTTTTCAGATACAAAATTGTTTTATAAGACAATGGCTCTATGAGACAGATTGATACAGCAGAATAAAGAAGGAATGTGTAATGTGTAATTATACTAGTAGGTAAAGACAGGTATAATCAAAGGCAGGTTTAGCAAGTCAAAGACAGACAATGTAGAAGTAGGTATCTAATGCAGGCTTACCTATACTTACAGATAGCCTGTCTAAGGTGGTCTCTAAATAAAAGATGGCGTGCAAAGGAATGCAAGTTGTTAGAATATCCTTACATGAAAAGACATATCTCATAATGCTAGTATTGCGCTATAGCTAGACGCTTTAATTTATTGGAAGCTTAAATAATAGTGGGAGTACCTTTTGTCGAATTTTACGTAAAAATACATTTCAAACATTTTATTATTTGTTAACAACAAAAATACGTATTTGTTAAATGTTTAAATAGCAATTTTGTGAAATTGTTACACATGGGCAGAGTATTAAACATCAATACGTTGTGTTGTTTTTGAAAACCAATCACAAATCACTAGAAATACAAGATGTGGTAAACAATTTAATGCACCATGTGACAGATGCGTCCAGCTAGAACTCTTCAGTGTTTCTTGATGCCAAAATCACATTGCTTAAAAGACTTAAATGTTGGAATAGGCAAATGCTCTGCTCATGTATAATAGCCACAATCTGCATGGTATTCATTGTTTCAGTAACTTCATTATGATAAATTATTTTATATTTTACTTTGATACCAGGGTTGTATATTTATATCACTAGAATATTTCAATGTATGCTAAAATACCAATTATTCGAATTAATATTAAGTGTTTTGAGTTGAGAATGTTGCCATGTACTAATTGAAGCCGTCCATCCAATTTCAGGTTGACTCGTACGGTTATGTTGCTCCCTGTGATGCAACAATTTCTGACACAGAAAAAGTATTTTATAGGAGTCAGTTGTAAAGGTTGTCAGTTGTGTATCATATGGTGGTCAGCGGCATTGTTTAATATGTTTTTAGTGTGAATTGTCATTATTCCGTCCATAGTTGTCTTGAGAAACTTGACCATATCTTAGATGAGGTATGTACGTATATTACGGTGAAGTACAAAATGATATCTAAGATTTGATCAGATACTGATGATATGATGTGTTTACCCACGCATAGTTTTAGTGTTAGGGGATAAATATAAAGTATTACCAATGCACAGCGCGCACTTTGTCTATGCAAGTGTACAGATATACTTTTGACTGCTACAAACTAAAATAATTGTATCAAACGATACAGTGTTTCTTGTTAAAAATTCAAAGTTATCCTAAAATGTCATTCCATATCCTTAAGTTTAGACAAACAGATAGCCCGGACAAGCAAAGGTCAATTGAGACGATTCTTATCCTTTTTTCCTTGAAACCAGTTAATCTATATGTAAGTCTAATGGAAAATATTTTTTCTGAACATTGTATTCTTGATCTTATATATGTTTGTGAACACTTTTGATGTGAAGACTGATACAACCGTCCATACTATAAAAATGGCAGCTTCGTATGATAAGTACTATAGAATGATAAATGTCAATGTATCTTTGAAACTTTGTTAGAAGATTAGACTCGTCTGTGATGACGGTCTGTGTATATATTACAAAACAATGTGTAAAAAGTACAGTGTTTGGATATTGAAAAAAATACAAACAGGTAAAGAAAGGACTATGTTTGATTTCATCGTGAATTAAGTTACTGTTCCGAGTTAAACGGGATCTTCTGTATTTGAAGTTGTATGTAACTTATTTAGGAATTCAAGCACATTTGCAAAAATGTGTCTATCACAACTGCGACACATACAGTCCAAAATTTAGGGTTTTAACAACAAAGTAAAGCATTATGAAAATTCTGTTTACACAACCAATAAGAGTTTCTATGAGACGTTTCGATGTCTAGTACGGTATGAACACTGTCACATTCATCAGACAAATGACCAGTGAAGCGTATGCACATTAAGGTGTAAAATGTGTACGAGTTGTCCACAAAATCGATGTCGCTTCGGCGACGCTGTAAGCGATTATACAATATTATTTATGTATGTACCGAAATGTCATCGAAACAAGTCTTACTTACCAACCTGAAGAAAATGTTTAGAAACAAAGTGAAGCAGCATTCAGGAGGATTTTCCTGTGCTTTCTGTTGCATTTTGACTACCTTTCTTGACCCTACCAAACATCAGTTGAAATTTCCCGTCATACATTCGACTTAAAAGAACGGTGAACGATACGATTAGATCTGGGAAAAAAAACAGAATAATTTCAGTTCTTCAAAATATTCACCTGTCTTATTTCTTGTGAATTATTGTATTAATCTTGAGCGTTTGAAAACGAAATGTTAACATTTTTGTGTATAGATTATATTATTTATTTTTGTCATATCATGTGTTGTATATTTTCTTCTTAAATGTGCACGTACATTTTATATGATTCTGTTGTTTATAGATATTTTCTATCGAAATTATCTAATTTAATGCATAGAAAACGCAAAATGTTGTGAGCCATGCTGGAGGCAAAAATAGTGAAATTTCAAAAGTGCAGGATAAAGTCAAACAAATCTAAACAAGTAGAGGGGGGAAACGATATCTGAATTGAGTCATTAATGAATTATGTCCAGGAGAAAGTTCGTAATAGAGTAAAATATAATTCAACCAGGTTTAATTTATGTATTATGACATATTGTCTTGAATAAAAGAAGTAGCATTCTAAATATTTGGTACCATGTACTCGGTAAATAATGGTATGATATTGTGAATTAGTGACGTCATACCATTTCTTTCTAAAGGCACTATATATATTTAATTTGTAAGCTGTATTGATTTTAACAACTGTACTGTCATGCTTTGTAAATATCTTTGCTTTCTTGCCTTATACATCAGAGATGACCCTTCCGGTTGATTACATCCATATTTCTAATTTAATCACATTAAAACAGACCATGGTTTGTCATCAGTATGAAAATTCCTCTGATATCATATTTGTTGGGTACAGTATAGCAGATTTTGTATAAAAGTCGGTCAGGTTTATAATAAACAAGCCGGATACAGATTTACAAGGAAAGGCTATGTCAGAGTGATGCTGAATTAAGTCGAATATTACGCGACTGAAGGGAAAGTCCTTTATAGTCAGTAAATGAGACGCAATTGATTTCTTTCAACATACGGTACTATTTCGGCAGTTAGTACATACACCACAAATACGTTGTTACAAGCATGATCAATAGTATTCAATATATATATAAATAACAGCATGACGACATATTAATAAAATTCAATAAGACTGGATTGCTCTTTGTCGGTGGTCGGTGTGTGGAACTTGCAGTGCCATATATATTGTACTATATAATGGTAGCAATACTCTCAATGTTTTCTTTTGTTAATATTACACATCTCTTCAGTACTTTTGTAATTATGTATATTAAAATATAAACTAAATTTTGTTCATTTTGTAAATAATCAATTATGCATGAAAATATATCAAATTTTATTTTGTACATTTGTAAAAAATTATGTGTATAGTTATGCAGTAACCCATGGAAGAGTCTGGGGACAACGTTTTCGTGATTTTGACGTCAGGTGTGAAAAATCTCGGGGGGGGGGGGACAAATTTAAAATACACAAGCATTTGAATTACTATTCTTTTTGAAATAAAGTTGGTTTTTATTGGCCTTGTACAGTAACTAGTTGAATATGATTTCTGATTCAACCAGTTTGTCTGAATAAAAAGAAATGTCTAGGTGAATAAAACTGAAATATCTCTTGACATTAATGAAATCGTAATGAAGGTATCTACAAAATTAATTCTAAACTGGCATCCGGAGTAACGAGGTTCCCTGATAAATGTAACGTATAAACAGATCAAGTATTACTATGTTATATTATAATGTTTTACATACGTCATATGTTGTAATTGCTTGATTTTTGCAGCAAATATATTAACAAGTGCCTGATACAGTTTTAATATGTAATGCAATTGTTTACGTTGTGATTTATTATTTTTTTTAGATTGCCCGTTACCAAATAAGAATTTATAGAAAAATGCTTTAGGAGATGAATGAAAATGTGCTAGAATAATGGCATCGAATATAATATTTTGTAATTTTGAAAATATTAGAATGTTTTCTTGAGCAATTAGGCAACTCCAAAATTTGTAAAACATGGTCAACTGAAACGGTTCATGAGGTATCCCTTGATAGAGAAAACACGTGACGTTCTGATATTTTACATTTTCAATGTAAACAGATGTTTTATATATTCTAGAGAAGCTTTGTAGTTATTGATCTTTTAATACATAATCAAAGTATGATAACTAATTGTACAACTTTGTTTAACCATTTGCTTTTTAGTGTGCTCGATTGTTTTTAATTGTTTCCCTATTTACGTTATGCAAACATGCAAAACTGCACCATGTCAGCACGATTGGTAATGATACACGAAAGAATGATGAAATGTTAGCTACGTCACAATGTTATTTTGTGACGTCATTGAATTTTAAGAATTTGAATATAATAAATTGGAGGTAAAAGAATAGGGGCCGTATTCATGAAACCCTTCTTATGCTTAAGATCAGATTCTGTGCTCAAGCGGAGTTTTGTTGTTCTGTTGATAAATCAATAGTTCCCCATTATTTTGATCATTTCAGGAGAGACTAAAAACAGAATAATGTTTTCCATGTCTACACTACACTTTTTGACCGTGTCCTTTGATGTAAGTAAGCTACAAGGATGTTGGTCTGAGCACAGAATCTTTGTCTGAGCATGAGAACGGTTAAATGATCAAAGAGCCAGGGTTATACCAAAAAGACGACTGTTTGGGATTGTTTGTTCTCGTATTAAACAAAACATGGTGCATAACTCCAAATCTGTGATCTTCAACGTCCTCTAGTAGTACTTGACTCTACGTCTTTAGTCACTAACTTTAGAATGTACATTATACCATTATTTTAGCTGTTTTATAGTGTCATGTATTTTACATTTTTTAAATTCTTTTAAAGAGAATTGTATTGAAATTTATCTGAAATTATGTTATCTTTTCAATCATTTTGAGTATCATTTAACGCTACAGTTTCTGTGGTTGTGGTTTGAGTTTAAGGTTTAGTAAAATATTCTGATTTTTTTATCAGATGTTCGACTTTTTTAGTAAAAAATAAACCACTTAATGATTGCTATGAAATTCAGGATCAAAATCGTTTCTATATTTATTTTCAACTGTTTTTACATTTTGTGAACTATAACCGAATAATGTATTGCTACTTAAAGATTTTATTTTTCATTTATAGATACATACACAAAAACTTGTTATTACGAATTCTATGACCACAGTTTCGATAATGTAAGGATTTAATTCGAAATACGTTTTTTTTAAATGCTGAGATATGCTTAAACATGTGGCTGTAAGACCTTTATGGCTATGTGCGAAGTTCCGTATGTCAACTGAGAACATTGAACACATTTTTGAAAAAAAAATTGACTTTGGACTTACGATTAATTTAACGTTCAACATCGTAATAACGAAGTTTGAATGTATTTGATTTGGTTGTACTTTAAGGTGATACCCCTGTATTATAAGTGTATAGTTTATGGATCGTTTTATTGAATACAGTAATTGGTTTACAATACTATTTGAATAAGTTATGATTTTAAAAATTAAGGGTAGGAAACGCAGACGTTTTTTCATTAATCTTTATTTTGAGTTCTTCAAACATAATTGTTAAATATACTGTCTTTTGTTTGCTTAACAATGCACATTTTTGAACCCCAAAAAAATCGAGATTTTCCCTTGTGATCTGGATATTGTCAATCACTTGTATTCTACTGTAAAGTTATTTCCTCAGTATTTTTGATTTCGCCAATTCAGATTTCTACGAAATAAGATGTTTTGAAATAATCGCAAATGTGAGGTAGTTTTCGGTTTCTATATTATGATAAAGAATCTATTCAGTGTCGCATGCGTTAATAAGATATGCCGTGTCATACAGAATGTGATTCCAAGTTAATTTAGCATTAAACAATGAAAACTTGAATGCAACTTGACGGTTTATTCTACGTTAACCTCAAAGCAAAATAAAGTTTCTGCTATAGGTGAGATTTAATAACAATTTGGTTTTATACGTACGGCTTTGTCGAAGCGTGTTCCTATTGAATGTTTTTATTCCTGTTTATTTTAAACCGATCCTTATCTTTAACCGGTATATTGCTTAACATATTAATTGATGTAAAAGTTTGTGATTACCACCTAGTAAATTGAAATATACCTGGGTATCATCTTATTTTAGATTCATTAGCTAGCAATGTACCAGATACTATATTTTAGTTAGGTATCCTATATTTTATACATATTTCTGTGTAGATGTTTTATAAAAAAATAAAGATCATTGATCTCTATGTTTGATATTTGGTTGTTTCTTTATATTGAGTATTCCTAGATGTTGCCTTCTGTATCAGAATAGACCGAAATACCAGATCGTCATCGTTTCATGAAAATAACAAGCGGAATCAAACAACGAATACAGATGGCAATACACTATGTTTCAGGAATTGGCCCCCAGCCCGACTCCGCCCCAAGGGAATTAGACTTTCAAACGGTTGTGTAACGATCTATATAAATAATTATTTATGCGGAAATGTAAACTTTTTGGCATCGAATGTATTGCTCATCTTAATGTATACCGTCCAATCCAGAATATCGATCACAACAAATCTCGCACACAGTGAACAATTGTTTATTATGGCAGACACTGAAACTCCTTAATTCAAAAACAGATGATAGCTTAACGTTATTTCAATCATTGATAACACACCACAAGTATTGTACGTGCTTATGATATAGGTACCTATGATGAACTCGACCTTGTATTACAGTCAAGCTACGGTACCACTAAGATTTAGTGGTATCCCTATACTGAGCACTCGATTACTGATAACAGTAAGGCTGAAGTACAACTGTTGTTATATGCGTCTTTTTACTGATAACTTAATAAGTGATAACAGAAAAATCAAAGTACAAATGATGTTGATAGCATCTATGTACGGAACACCAAATGATTGATAACGGTGAGGGTCGTGGTTTCGAATCCAGTCGTGGCATTGTGTTGTATCATTGATACTTTACTCCGGTTGTTCCAATCTACACAGCTGTAAATGATAACGTGTTTGGGCAGTGCTGGAATTGTTGAATGCTAGCTGTGTGCGCCTAAATGGCAGCACCAGTTGTATGCAGGGAGTTGAGAAAGACATTGGCTGGTTGCAAGTAACATAACTGTAATGATATCTGATTTATTAGAGATGTCCAATACTCTTCTATTCGTATAATACATCAAGCCATGGTGATAGTATGACATGATATTGTAACAGTCCGAGGTCAAACGTGGACAAACATTAGTTGAATTGTTTACTACCAAGTAATAAGTTAAAGCATGTCCAGTATGAAACATGTATGTTAAACGTGAATATCTCGTTAATGGAGATAGATGATATTTAACTATTAACTCCCAGAGGTGGTAATGGTACGCTGGAAGGTGGTTATTAGTACCACTCACGTTTTCTTTGTCTTTGTGTAAGATTTCAGGTTAATGTATAAGGATACCCTACGATACACGGGTAAATATAGCATTTTACGTTACATTACCCAAGTCAAATCACATTGTTGAGCTATTGAATCTGATATGTATGTTCATTAATTCTAATAGTTCTTAGGTTCATAAACTGTCTTGTGAGTGTCTTTATGTGATAAATCTCGCCATAGGAAAAACGCATAAAAACTTTTCTGAATAAGATACGTTAAAATAAAAGTGGACATTGATAACCATCTCAAAACCAGGTAGCACAGTCACTTTAGATCCAAGGTTTCAGGCTCACCCCTTCATCAGGGATCGGATGGTCCTGATGAAAAGCTAAGCCCGAAAGCTTGGATGAAGAGTGACTCTTGCCATTTATTTTGTTATGTTCCCTATAGGAACTTTATGAAAGATATTTATTAAAATCTTCAAAACTGTTCAACATAGACACCAATGTCTCTAAACAGGACTTAACAGGAACCTTTCTTAAAGCAATTTACAATACAATAAAATATAGAGGATCTTGTATTGGATCAAAAATTCATTTTACGAGCCAAAAAATAACAAATTGTGACGGTTTTTTTAATGAATCAAGTATGAAATGCGAACGAATTTAAGATCCTCTTTATCGTATTGATGTAGAATTTTCCAGAATATTTATGAACCTGTTTTCTCAAATTTGATACTTCTCTTTTGACTACTGTATCCGACTGCAGCAACATCTACGCCATCACCTTCAATATGTGCCAGCTTATTGGAATACAGAGGAGGCCCTGCATTGCTCTTCTGTCCAAATAATTATGCGTCTGTGCTTTCTTGCATAGTTGATGCACTGCATGCGACATTTCTGATAGCTGGTAATATTAGGTCGTCCTTCAGTTGATACGTCATCGGTGGAGATTGTCGCCATATGGCATCTGTCGTTTATACGAATATCAACCTAAAAGTTACCCAATGAGAGTCGATTTAACCTAGTTTTTATTGTCATATAAAAAGTATTTTTTAACTGACAAACGTTACTTTCCACTAGGATTTCTGTTTGAGTTTAAAAAACATACCATTTGTCATCCGTTCCTTGAAAACGTAGGAATTCAAATTTACGATTTAAAACTGTTCTACGATTTGATAAAAATCATAAGCAGTTTTAATGTTCAATGTCACACAGAGGAAATGGATCATCGCCTGATTCACAATGTTCTTTCATCTATTGATTATTGGCGGTGTTTGAACATGTAGCGGTTATGTAAATAGCAAACAATGTCAAGGTCGAATTTGGCAATAAACCTATAAAGTGAATGTAGATCGTTTAAGCCATATAATCGTGCTCGGGTAATAATAATCATTCTAAAAACATTGTCTTGGATTGCGTTTTGAGTGTTTGAGTCCTAGCTAAGGTCATAGGAAAACAGTGATAAAAACTCAAGTATTGGATAATGATTTTTCCCGTCATGACTATAGCTTTGATAAATCATTTCTGAAAAGAAAATCACACATTTCGGGACTTTTATGAGATAGAATAAAAATGAAATAAACAAAATATAATCAACAACAATGTTCTTACTGTAACAAATCACTAAAGGGGTAGACCCGTATTCGAACCCTGTAACTACAGACTGTTGAACTATCGCTCTAACCAATTTAACCAGTTGAGCTACCTGGTCGATGGAGGCGTCTTGGCCCAATTGCTTTACAGTTATATCAAAACGGAAGTTAAGGGGTGGTTACTGTATATATGAAAAACTACAGGGTAATGGGACAGGGATCCTGAAGGAGCTGGAAATCAAATGGCATACTACGCTCTACCTTTCATCGAAAAATTTGCATTTAATGTAGAGATCACTTATGGGACATCCATTCATACAAAGTGGTTCCGTTGTCTCCGTTACTATATTCTGAGTTTCTTACTTTTCCCCCTTTATTCGCAGGATGTTTCTCGAGATTGCTGACCTCTCTGTTGTAAGAAGAACAGACGAGTGAGATATCCCATTAACTGTGTCGACGAATGGCGCTATAAACCTGTAATACAAAATTAAATCATTTTTGCAGCACCGCTTTTG